ACAGCACTTCTGATTGGTGTGGATGACTGACACACAAGAATACAATTTTTTTTTTTTTAAATGTTAAAAAAAAAGAAGAAAATGTTAAAAAAAATCGCAGGCTTTGCGATTTGATAATCGCATCATTTAAAATCGCAATTTCGATTTAAAATCGATTAATCGTTCAGCCCTACTGGGTATCACAACATTTAGACATAGAGAGACATTGACACATTTCATGACATCTCGTATCTGTCAGGTGTCATGTTAATAAGTATGACTGACAATAAACTGAAGATTATAGGTTGCACAATTGTGGGAAAAAAATACTAATTTGGTTTATTGACTGATAGAGCAAGTGCGATATGTTTGAAATATTAGGGGAATGATCATTTTTGAAACTCTAAAAAATGTGCACTGAAAGACATATTAAAATGATCATGACATGATTTTTTAAGAAGATGTGTACCAAACAAGGAATGTTTGAAAATAGGGATTTTAGCCTTTGCAGACCATTTACATGCACTAAAACCTATATAACAAACTACAGGAAAGGGAAAATAGGGATTGTTTAAATCTTTAGAATATCTTTTGTAGTGCAGGTCTTCTCTGCAGCATGCAATATTCCAGTATTAAATATCCAAATACTATGCTTACTGCACTAGACCACAACATTTAGATTATTTGTGCAGGCCAACTTTAGCTCTCTTCCAAATCTGAGAATTAAATTATGTCTTGAAGGATAAAATAATGAAAATGGTTGCTTCCTTGAATTTGCCTCAGACCGTCTATGTCCTAAAAGCCTCTCTGGATTTTGTGGTTGGATCGCTATTAGTTATTTATATATCCTTATTCTGTGATGAACCAAACAACCATGGATCCAGGAGACTGTAGAGATGACAAGTGATGACAATCAGTCCAGACAAAGAGCTACATAAACTGTGTATAAAAGACAATGAACACGGACAGGACAGACGTTTCAATAAATGCAACCGTCAATCTCAGCCTAAAGTATTTACAGTGAATTGGCAGCATGTGCTTCTCTGCTCCTGAACTTCCTGCTGTCAGCTCAGTTCTTGGAAGCTGAACTGGAATGCAGCCGGAACAAAAATAAAAAAGGA